ATTCAAAGCGAGGCGTGCAGCTGCCGGGCCTCACCAGTCTCCTTCCCCCGCCGCCACCGCTGGGCCTCACTGGTTGCTCGCTCCCCTCGCCCCGCACTGAAGCTAGGTAGGTCACATAGCGTTCCTTAGTTTTGGGGGGATTTAAATATCCCCCGATAGTTTTTTAAAGTTTTCAGATTTTTGTGCACACCTGGGGCCCGTCCCACGTGTGCACAAAACTCTCCCTCCCCCCCAGCTGCCCCCAGTGTGTGGATTTAGGTATCCGCACACCACGGGGCGACTTCAGGATTAGATATATAGATGCTGTACAGTTGCTAGACCCCCGGTGGAGACACTGTCTCCCACTGTCAGGCCTCACCACCCAGCTGCCGATCAGCTGGCCAGCAAGGGGATCTTACCCTGAAAAAGAGGGTGGCTCTGCTGACGTACAGTGATGTGCCATGAAGTCGGGGGTGTCAGGACGACACTCTTGTATTTGGGCAAAACCTCAATGGTAGAAGCCAAATTTACCATAGAGTTTTTGGCCAAATACCAGAGTGTTGCCCCAGCATGATGACGTCACTTCAGGGTCACTTGGGCAGTGATGAAGGCATGTCACTACACGTCTGCCCCTGCCAGTTGCCATGAGGGATCTGGCAACCCTAATATGCTGCCTGTCCAGAGACCTAAAACTGCCTTTGGCGAACTCCGTAAGGCCTGTGTTTTGTCCTGTGATAATACACATTTGTGGTTGTTGTCAATACGCTAAAGGCACTTCAGGTTCTTTGACTTATGTGGCTAGCCAATAAACCACACAGTAAAAACAATCACCCAGGCAGTAAAGGGTAATAAAAAGTATTTATTCAAATAAAGGAACTCCCCTACAGCTTAATTCAGCCTGGCATAAACAAGCAGGACACCTGTATTTCAAAAGGCTTCACATAGCTATAAATCCAGGACTTTCAGACAAGTTTTTAAAGTTGGCAGAACATCACAACATACTCCTTTTTCTCTCGTTAAACCAAGTGGTGAAAACATGCCAATTAAATATAAGTAATGGTTTCAGCACTTTAAGACTCTCTAGTGTTCTGAAGTAGGATGCCAACTTTCTCCAGGGGAGGCCCAGAGAGTTCTATTCCATAGATTTCCCTTAAAGCAGATAATAATCAATACAAAATCATTTGGGCACTTCTAGCGCCCTCTACATGGTGGAAGGCAGAAACTAACCCTAAGTTGCGTAATAAACCTTTGTGCGCAAACACCTTGTTACATGACAGCACAAATGTAGCCCTCACATAAACATTCAAAACAGCTTCCATCTGACAATTGTTAGTGTGTGAACTAGTCCTTCCAGTTATGGTGGATGGGGGCCTGAGGTCACCTCATGCAAACCACTAAAAGGAATCCAGCATCCTTCCTGTTTCACAACTTCTCAAAGGATGTGTGTGTGTGTGCGTGCGTGCGAGAGAGATGCAATCATCTGTATACGATCTGGCTTCTCTAGCCATGAGGTGGGCTACTTTTTTTGTTTTTTAACCAAAACAATTTTATTTATTGTGACACGAATACAGACAATTGTAACATTTGAATACAAACAGCAAATCGCTGGTTTTCTTCATATAAAACAAAGAATTACAATAATATCAGTAAATATAGGAATTACACTGAAAAACCTTGAAGCCATACAATATTTAACCAAGCAATAACAATTTGTATTTAGCATCATAAATAGTTTTCCAGTCAAAATTATCAAAGGTAAGTTTTCCAATAATGGGGTACCATTTCCCTATGGGGTTGAAAAGTTCGCATTCATTTTGGTCTGCCGTGTTATATATAGAAATGGTTTCATACACAAAATAGTTCCAAATTTTATATAACCAAACATTTATAGATGGAGGACTACTATCTTTCCATTTCAGCGCTATAGCATTTTTGGCAGCTGTTAATAAAATATTAATTAGTTGTTTTTGATTTGTTGTTATGCTATCATCAGGCCATAGGTTTAATAACATGACTTTAGGATCTAAAGGTATGTCTATACCTGTGAGAGGTTAGAATTCTAGCTTGTACTTCCGACCAAAACTTAAAAATATGTTGGCAGGACCACCATGTATGAAAAAATGTAGCTCTCTCACCACAGAGTTTCCAACATAGTGGAGAAATAGTATTTGACATATGGGAAAGCTTTACCGGCGTTAAGTACCAGCGTGAGAGCACTTTATAAGTAGTTTCTTGGATTTTAGATTATTTTGATATATTATGTTGAATCTTCCAGATTGTGAACCATTGCTCCTCAGACAGTGGAGTAGGTAAGTCCAAATGCCAAGCCTTTTGATAACTCAATTGCTTATTATTGAGTTTGGAAAATAGGAGTTTATAAATTTTTGAAATCAATCCTTGTTTCTTAGGTCTAATAAGCATTAATTTCTCAAAATCTGTTATTGGGGATATGACGGCATTATTAAGATGGTGGCGGATTTGGGCCCCCGAAACTGGGGGATCCCCCGCCCCCATTGGGGTTGGCAACCCTAGGAAGTTGCAACCCTAGTCCTGAACCCTTAGGCTTTGGAACCAGTTGCCTATTTTATTTTTATATACTAAATGTATTGTTGGCCTTTCTTGCTGAGACTAAACACAGACTACAGAATTCTTAAAACCATGCAATACAGGCCAGCATAATATACACGATGAAAATGCAGTGCAACTGGATCATCCGATAAGAGAACAATGAAAGAAAATGTTAAAAGTAGCATGAAAACAGTTGGGATTTGTAAGGTCCAGGATTTCAGTACTTCAGTGCTGTTTTCATGTATTGGAGCCTTTTGAATTTAGCGGTCTCCTTTTATGGCCACGCACTTTGAGAACACGGGCTGAGAAACAAGTCAGAAATGATCTAAATAAACAGTAGTCCTATTGATCCCAGGGGGTAGCTGGAAAGCACGTGGCACCCCTACCTTGCAGAAGCAAAGCAGGTCTGGATCTGGTCAGTGCCTGGATCGGAACCCAATACAACAAAGGCAGGAAATAGGTAATGTTCAGTGTTGTCCTGAACTTCCAACTAGTGTGTTCTTGTTCCATTTAGAGACCTTGCACGTGACGTCACCTCTCCATAGACATGGTCAAGGTCACTGACAACTATAACAACATGATAAAACAAACTGGCCGTTAAAACTGTTGGATTCTCTGGACTAGGTACTGCGGTCACCTCTCCATAGACATGGTCAAGGTCGCTGACAACTATAACAACTTGATAAAACAAACTGGCCCTTAAAACTGTTGGATTCTTGGACTAGGTACTGCCAGGGAACCACGGAAGAATAGCAGAGTGCTCAAAGGCTTAAACGCAGCAGAGCTTGGGGCTTGGTGTGGCAACAGACTTGCAAAGTCACACGGAGTCAGCAGTCAGTTCTAAAACTAATAAGTAACATTTATTAAAGGGAATACATGGTTGAGAGTGCAGGTAAGAGATAGATATAGATTGCCTATTCTAACTAGCTAGATGGTGTTGGATGCTGGACGCATGTCCAGCCTCCATGGTGCAAGATGGAGATCAAGCAGGTTCTCTATACCCTGTAATGTAGAGCAACCTTCAATATATATACTTTGTTATATAATCCTTCTTTCCTCTTGTATTCCTTTAATATCTTATCTTGTTTTTTTAAAAAAATAAAAATATATAGTACAAAAAACAATCCATTAAAAATGAAAGACATCCCTAAGGCTGGAAGAAGAATGTGTACTGTCCAGTCACAGCTGATTCATGGCAACCCCATCCACTGGGCGCTCCAGGCAAGACACAGACAGAGGTGGGTTTGCCATTGGCTTTCTCTGCATGGCAACCTGTCTTCTAAACTGGCCAACCCTGCTTAGCAGCCAAGTTCCGACTGGGTCCGGAATGGATGAGCTGGGCTAGGTGGACTACTTCCTAAGGCTTTTAAAAACATTAGCTGTTGCAGATTTTCCGGGTTGTACGGCCATAGTCTTGGCATTGTAGGACCTGATGTTTCTCCAGCAGCTGTGACTGGCATCCTCAGAGGTATAACACATAAAGATGGAGTACTCTCTGTGTCGAGGTGAGAAGAAAATGGTAGGCAGGTAATTTATATCTATTCAGGAAGGTGGGGTAGGGCTGAGATTAGGGAGTTCCCCAGACTGTGAACATGCTAATGGAGGAACCTTCCTGAGGAGGTTCTTTTGTATATGGATTGTTTCCTGAGGAGGTTTCCTGTTTCCTGAGGAGGTTCTAATCTTATCTGTAGTGCTATTGTCAGATGTAGAGCCTTTTGTGTTTTTCAGGACAGGAAACCATGCCCTATTTATTTTTAAACTCTCTTCTTTCCTGTTGAAATTGCGTTTATGTTTATGAATTCCAATAGCTTCCCCGTGTAATCTGACATGGTAACTGTATAGTGCAGAGAACACTGCAATGCAACGTGTTTAGTACAAAGCTGCTACTCACTTGTGGCTAAGAGCATCTCTGAGCTGGGCTCTTCCTTTCTCACTCTCCTGGATCAGTAGTTGAATGGGCTTTACTGGAGGAGACTGCACACCCAGGGCTGGTGCCTAGCTGAAATAGTGCTGGTAGGGATCCCAAGTCCCCCCGGGGGGCGGGGAAACCCCTGCCCCAGAGGCCCGTTTCCCGGCGCCGCCAGATCAGGCCCCAGGGGGAACTCCACCCCGATGTGCGCGTCACCCGGAAGTGACGCGGGCATGCTGGGGGCAGGGCCATGGCCATACAAGGGAAAACTCTATGGTTTTCCCTTGTATGGCCGTGGCCCAACCCCCAGCGTGCCTGGCGTCCTCCCATCACTTCCGGGTGATGTGCGTGCGGCGCGCGCGCAATTAATTTTTCATGCCCCGTCATGAGAATGACTCCTGTTGTGTTTTCCTGTCCTGACATTCATGATGGCTTTTTTTCTTGCCCAAAGTTGTGTATGCGGAGAAAGACTCTCCTGTGGAGCTGCCGTGTCCTTGTCCACACTGCCCTGAGCAACACAGAGAAATGAACTGGTACTTTGACCTCGAAGGCATCGCAACCCCTCTCTTCCGCAAAGGGCAGCACAACAGCGTCGAGCGTCTGCCGGCTGCCTGGCCTCGCCTTGAGATGCTTGCGAATTACTCCCTCCACTTGAGCAGCGTGATGGACAGTGACACTGGTAGATACTGGTGCGAGCAAAGCAATTACTATGATCTGGTGGTTGTCACAGGTGAGTGAGTGAACATCTAAACTAGATCTACAACAAACTTGCCATGCAGGAACCCTTCCCTTGGAGTTACGTCTCAGAAAGAGCTCAGATGAGGAACAAAGGGGGAAGAATTCCAGAGCTAGAGCCCGTTTGGTGTAGTGGTCAAGTGCGCGGACTCTAATCTGGGAGAACCGGGTTTGATTCCCCACTCCTCCACTTGCACCTGCTGATGTGACCTTGGGTCAGTCACAAACTCTGGCACAGCTGTCCTTGAAAAAGAGCAGTTTGTGTCAGAGTTCTCTCAGCCCCACCCACCTCACAGGGTGTTTGTTGTGGGGAGGGGAAGGGAAAGGAGTTTGTACGCCGCTCTGAGACACCTTTGGGTAGTGAAGGGCGGGGTATAAATCCAATCTCTTCTTCTTCTTCTTCTTTTAATCTGAGCCAGATCTTGCTGAGGATCAGGCCCATGTAGTTTCAGGCTAGGGATGCACGGTCACCCGCTATTATGGGAGCATCCCCTCTTTTCCCTGCTGGAGCCTCAAAGGCCAGTGGAAGCCAAACGGGGTAGTTGCATCAGTGCATGACATCACTTCTGTTGAAAAACTGGAAGTGACATCATGATGGTGACACTCTAATATTTGCCAAAACCTCCGTAGTTTTCCAGCCACCCTACTTCCTCTGCTGCTCCTCTGCCCGCTCTCCAATACTCCTGCTCATGCACCTTCCTTCCCTCCCCCCATCTCTCCCATTCACACACTGCTCTCTCTTTCCCCCTCCCCTCAGCCAACCTCTACCATTCCTCCCTTTCCCAGAAATCACCTGTGTCCCCCCCCCACACCCTCTCTCCCACTCCCTACTCCTGCCTCCCTCAGTTCCTGGTGGGGCCATAACTAGGGTTGCCAGCCATCCCCTGGGTGTGGCGTGATATTGTGGCACACAGCACCGTGGCTTCACGTGTGGTTACAGGAAGTGACATCACGGCTTTGCTGCAGTGCTCTAGGTATCTTCCAAGTCTCTATGGGCAGGGCTATTTTTGGGCAGGAACGCACAGGAACGGAGTTCCGGCTGGCTCCCGAGTTGGCCACACCCAGCAGGAACTCTGAAAAGTACTCAGAACATGGAGTGATTTCAGCAGAGTACTTTTATTAAGCTGGAACAAGACAAGGACTGCCGGCTCGCAGGCCGGTATATATGCCCAGAGAAACCCACCACCAAAACACCCCCCCTACTTCCTATAGGCTATTTACAGTAGCCGAGAGTCCCATAGGCTCTCGGCTGCGGACCTGGCCCTCTGATAGGTGCGGGCTAGGATCCGCTGGGCTATTGTTCTCCCTGAGCGAAGCTTCAGGGCTGTGCTTGACCACATGGCCCAACGGTCGCGCACGTGGTAATGGCGGAGTACATTACAAACTCATTAGCATAACAGGCCACACCCAACAGCAGAAACGCATTAGGACTGGCTATGTTAGGGGTGTGTGGCCTAACATGCAACGGAGGTCCTGCTACAAAAAAAGCCCTGGGTTTTGACAACAAACAAGGTAAACAGAATAAGAAGCAAAAGGTGGGTGTGGCTGGATGACCACACTTCTGGTAACATGGGGGTGCGGCCTAATATGCGAATGAGTGGTGCAATCAGGGGTGTGGCCTAATATGATAACGAGTTTCTGCTGCTGGGTGTGGCCTATTATGCTAATGAGTTCCTGCTGGACTTTTTCTACCAAAAAAGCCCTGTCTATGGGGGGGAAAAACAAAACACTTTTGTGACATTGTGGCATCACAGCAACATCCTTTTTTGCCTCATTTTTCTCCTGGTGGAGCACAGGGACAGGAGATCTGCTGTAATGGGAGACCTGACCACCCTAGGCTGTTCAACATTGGGTGCCCCTTGAGTTGCTGCAGAAACCCCAAATGCCATGTGAGTTTTCTCATATCTGGCATGGCTTTTTAATTTTTTAACAACAAACTCCCAGTTTTGGGGGATGAGTGGGTGGATGCTTAGATTTTCCCCAAATCTGTGTTTTCTTTTGCTTCCCTCTCGTTTTCGATCTGCGCACTGGGACCAGGTCGGAAATACGGTGGTTTAAGTGTTCTGTCTTTACTTGAGTCTAGAAAAGCTGTAGGAAACCCCTGAAGATACCACTGGTACGACTTGATGCCAGGGAACTACATTGAGGCATGGTTAACTTGCGAGCCGAATTTTTCCTCTGAAATATCACCAGGCCATGGGAATGAAGGCAGCCCCGGCTCCCACTCCATCATCCCCCCCCCTTCTGCTTCAGCCCTTGACCTGCCAGCTGTAATTGAACATATGCGCCAGCAGGTGGAGCAGGAGGGCCAGATGAGTGTAAGATTTTCCTAATTTGGTAACAGATGTCAAAGTACATGGGTTGTAAATTTGGAAACCACAGAACTGCAGATGTTTGGCTCCCTTTTTCACACTAATGAAACTTCGAGGGCAGAAGCGCCTCTTCTCCCCTGCCCTTTGTATCAGAGACCTGGAAACCTTTTACCTTCCATCCAAGCCTGTAACTATCTCATGATTGCTTTAATGATCCCTTAAAATAGGGCTGGACTTTTAAAATGTCATATGCTGTTTCGACTGCTATTGTTTTGACTCGCTGCTTGGTATAATACGTCACTCTTTCAGTGTTACGTGCTGCCCCTGGTACTTTTTGAAGAATGCCAGGATAAGAAATACAGTAAACGAATTTAGATTCAGGTGTGTAGGCACGTTGGTCTGAAGCACCAGAGCAAGAAGACAAGTGTGCACCCGGAAGCTGATACCCAGTACATAAATTTGTTATTCCATCCTGCCCTTTTGTCTCCTCTCCATTTTACCCCTCCTTATTTATTCACGCTTTTTGCTCCCCAGTGGGGACCCAAAGCAGCTTACAAAATACAGAATGCAATTCAAACAAGCAGACAGTAGAAAAGGTGCAATACGCCACCTCTGGGGCTAATCCTGAATCTGCTATAGGGTTGCCACCCTCCAGGTGGGTCAAACAACAAATATATACACTGCAAAAACCTTATTTATAAGTTAAAGTGTTCTATGGCCCTGGGCACACGGGCCAGATATCGCGGAGGGGAGTCGTGGCTAATTGCCCCGGCGCAGTTTGATCCGCGATTACACCGGAAGCTTGGCTCCAGGGAGTTTCACTATTAACAGAGAATGAATGCTTGATTCTTGTGAGGCAGGATGTGGGATATATGAGATGCATTCTTGTATTTGGTCTGATAGACAACAGAAAATTATTCATCCTTTCAAATAAACTACAATATGTGCTGAATGTCAGGCATTTACAGAAATGTGTATTGCATAAAAATGATTAGCAGTTCTTGGGACCTGGTTTTGAAGATGAAGAAATATAAAACGCAGTTGGGGGGAAATAAGAAAGGGGCAACGTAAAAGCCAGTTCACACACAATGCTTTAAATTTAAATTGTTCCACACTATGGTAGTTGATTAGCCATTTCTATGCATCTGCTCACCCCACAGTGTGGAGTGATTTTCCTTTGCCTCTGAAAATACTCCTTTTAGGACTTTAGCACTGGTATTGAAGAATCCATCTCAGTCATGTGGCCCAAACCTGCACATGAGCAGGTTGTTACATCACAACACAAACTGAAGGCAGACTTAATGTAGCTACTGTAAATTGTAAACAAACTGACCCTAAATCTAAGCCCACACATCCTCTCTCACCTTTCCAGACACAGATCCAGCCCACGGTTGCCACCAACATTTTAAAAGTAATTCTAAACTGCTGCAGGGGGTAGGCCTGTCATGTAAAAAGGATGTAAATTGACTGGTAGCTATTAGATTGTACAAACTGATTATTATTGTTGATATTGCATGTAATGAATATATACCTGTTTTAGAATATTATGAATAATACACTTTATAAGATGGAACATATAGAACACTTTAACTAATAAATAAGGTTTTTGCAGTGTATATATTTGTTGTTTGACTCTTCTAACACTGCAGCTCGAGTTTCCACAGCCTCCAGGTGAGGCCTGGGGGTCTCCCGCTTTTACAACTGATCTCCAGCTGACAGAAATCAGCTCCCCTAGAGAAAATGGCTGCTTTGAAGGGTGGACTCTACGGCATTGTGCCATGCTGAGGCCCCTCCCCTCCCCAAGCCCCGCCCTCTCCTGGTTCCACCCCCAAAGTCTCCAGGTGCTTTCCAACCCGGACCTGGCAACCCTACTCTGCTAACCCGACTCACTTTAGTGTCTCAGGCAAAGAGCCAGAGGCTAAGATGCCGTTTGGCTTTTGCCCGTCAAGTTGTGCCTCTGCCACATCTCATCTAAATACCTGAGGCACAGAAGGAACTGAAACTCTTCCAAAATCTCATCCAGCAGGCAGAAAGATGTTTCCACCTTATCTTCCTCCTCTGGGCGGAACTTCTGTCCCTCCTCCTCACTTCAGTGGCCGGCTTTCAACTCCTTCCCACGTCCCCCGCTTCCTGTGCCCCCTGAGTCCCCCTCCATACTTTTGTTCTACACGCGAGTAGCTTTGCCTGTCCTGGGTTAAGGAGACAGAGAAAAAAGTTTCCGCAGGAGATCCCCCTGAGGAATAACATAAGAACATAAGAACATAAGAGACGCCAACGTTGGTTCAGGCCAAAGGCCCATCCAGTCCAACACTCTGGGTGCATTCAGATGGGGCGTTTCTGCCGGCATAAACTGCACCGGTTGGAACCGGTGCAGTTTATGCCGGCAGAAACACGATCACACTTACCTCCATCTTCCAGATCCCTCCGGTGGACGCCCGCTCACACGCTGCGGGCGTCA